GAGAGAAGGAAGGGCATGCTAGAAAAATTGTGAATTGTGAAGACTGAATGATCCCCCTCTTCATTACCCAGCTATTTGTTGCATTGCATTATGCACAGATACTGAGGGATAACCTTGGCACATTAATGTTAGCCCTAAGCCAGTAGGAGATGAAGGAATTGTGTTGGCTTAGTCAACAGAGCAAGCCACCAGCTGGGAGAACTCTGGGTTCCTCTATTCATTCCATCTGAAATTATGCATATGCATCTTTTGCAGGGAATGGACCCCAGTCTTTAAAGGCCTCTGAAACACTGACCTAGACAGCATATGAATGGGTGTCATATCCACTTCTAGTTCCTTTCTGTGACATTCCTCTAGGCATGCTATTGCTTGCAGCAGTTCTCAGGCAAAGCTGGAAGAGTACCGTATATACCAGTTTCACCTGCCTGCCAGAGTATTGCCTATAGATTTTTCCTCCCATAGTTTGCCTGCCATTTCAAAGTGTGTACGGTGTTATTGCATCATATCAAAGCCAGTCTAGCCTCTGGGGATTGTGAGACGAAGTTTGGAGAGATGTTGTTGGCCCCATTTGCTGCAGGCTGTTGTAGACTCTCTACCTTCAGAGGGAGTTTTCCATTACCTTCCTCTTTCTGAAAGTCACCCAGTGTTTCCATGGCTGAACAAGGATTTGAACCCTGGTCCCCAGATATATAGTCCAATGCTCAAACCACTCCACTACACCTCACAGAATGAACCATCAAACTGAAGGTGTCACCTTCTGAGTGGAGTATCTTAGCTCCTGGACTGACTTCGGCTGCCTCTGCACTGCAGAAATAATCCAGGTTGGCACCACTTTAACTGCCATGGCTCAATGCTATGGAATTCTGGGAACTGGGAAGACATTTATCCTTCTTTGTCAGAGAGCTCTGGGGCTACAACAAGCTACAATTCCCATAGCATTGAGCAATGGCACTTAAAGTGGAGCCAGCTTGGATTATTTCTGCAGTGCAGATGCAGCCATCATGACCATAAAGGCTATTTGATTTGAGCAGCCAGGTTCTCTGGAGCTCTTGCACAGCCCTACATCTTTAGTTGTTCTTTGGTCCTGCTGCATGCCATCGTTTTCTGATTTCTAGTTAATCTCAAAACTGCTATTCTTAGCTCAGTTCTGACTACAAAGCTTTGGAAGCATAGATGGATTTGGGTGAAACTATTCCTGAATGACCAGCAGAGGGCCCCAGTATAGAGGTCAATGCATTAAAAAGTTGAACATCAAAGAGCAGGAGGATGGAGAGACAGCTATTTCAATGCAGTATCTTTCTAGAGCTGTATCTCTGCAATCCGTGATGCAGGCTTCCTTATCATTAACTATTTCTGTATGAATGATTCAAAGATATAGCTATGTTAGTCTGTAGAATCAGTATGTAGAGAGATCTTGCAGCACCTTTGAGATTCACCGAAAGAAAGAAGTTGGCAGTGGGAGCTTTCCTAGACTTCAGTCTCCTTCCGCAAATGACTAAATTAAAATACTAAAAAGAGCAAATGCATCTGACCAATGACCATATGTATCTGAGGAAGTAGACTTAAATCTACAAAAGCACATGCTGCCAACTTCTTTATTTCAGTTAGGACAAAAAAATAATAATCATCACATGAACAAAATCTCACGGATAAAAAAACCCAATTGCACCCCAATGGGATGTAGCCGGCTTGTGGGATGCAGGCAGGAATTATCACACGTAATTTGCCGCCAATACCACCAGCCAAGTGCAGCCTGGGTCCCAGGCGGACTTTGGCAGCCATTTATCCAAGCTGGGAGCTTTCCGACTTTGAAAAGCGGCCTCCAAAGTGCACCTGGGACCTGGGATGTAACTGGGCTGCACTTGGCCGGCAGAATTGGTGGCAAATTACATGTAATAATTCCCATCTGCATCCTGCTAGCCGGTTTCATCCTGTTGGAGTACAGTCGTTTTTTTTTTTTGGTCCATGCGATAAGCTCCTTAGTCTCAAAGGTGCTACAAGAAGTCTTTACATACTTTATGAATAATTGTGTCTCTTGTACTGTATGGATATGTTGTCACGGGTGCAGCTACAGAGGAAACAATGTCAGGGTAATCCTGCAACTAAGAATCCTCGTCCCAATGATTCCCCCCCCCCAATCCCCAAATTTCTAACCATGCAGAGAGTTAGAAACTGAAATTGTTTATAACTAGACCTCTTCTATTTGCTGCTTTCACATTGCCTTGCTGACTTCACCTTTCTTTGGATGCCAGATCTGTATTTCTAAATACTAGCTGAAGTGTTATGTTACTGCAGTGCTAGAAATTTGAGGAATGAAGGGACATTTCTTTTGAGGAGACTGAATTCTTTTTCTTGGTGGGGGGAAGAATACCTTTAGTTTGCCCTCTCCTAGTTCTACATGCATGCCTGGTTTAAATTGTTTTGAACTGAATTGTGTTTTAATGTGTGAACTTGCTTTATACATTTATTTGTATTTTTATAGACTCATACTATGAGCTAGGTATAGAGAGTCATTACGGTATAATGGTTTGAGAGGTGGACTATGGCTCTGGAGACCAGGGTTCAAATCCCTGTTTAGTTATGGAAACCCACTGGGTGACCTTGGGCAAGTCACACTCTCTCAGCCTCAAGGGAAGGCAAAGGCAACCCCCCCCCCCCCGAACAAGTCTTGCCAAGAAAATCCCGTGATAGGCTCCCTTTAGGGTCACCATAAGATGGAGACTATTTGAAGGTACACAAAACAACAAGTGCAGACCAATTTGACTCTTTCACATTACAGTCATCCCTCTACATTTGGGGCTTTGACTTTTGCGGATTTGATTATTTGCAGATCTCATTAGTATGTTTTCTCTAGGAATCTCTAGACCTTCCAGCACAACTCTGCTGGAAATTGACCATAGAGTTGCACTGGAGAACTTAAAGATTACTAGAGAAAACACTTCTCTCTAGGCATTTGTAGGTCCTCCAGCATGATTTTATGGTCAACTTCTGCCAGATGTTGACCATAGAGCTGTAAAGAGGTTTTCTGGCAGAGATTCGTAAAGAGGTTTTCTCTCAAGTAAAAACATTTTTTATTTTTATGTGCATTTTTCCAGGTTTTCATAGGGGTCTTATGTCCCTAACCCCAGTGAATGTGGAGGGCCTACGGTACATAATAATAATAATAATAATAATAATAATAATAATA